GGGGGGGGGGGGGGAACGAAAGAAAGAAAGAGAAGGAATGAAAAGGAAAAGGGAGGGACGTGAGAGGGGAGTTGACATGTAAATAATAGGCGTTTTTGCGTCAATGTCTGTGACGCCGACTGCGGTTTTGCTTGTAGCGGGAGGGCTGTTGTTGCCATAAGCCAGGCGTGGAAGGATCTTTTTTTTTTTTTTTTTGTGTGTGTGTGTGTTGGTGAGTCGTTTCTTCTTTTGTCTTTGCCCAGTTCTTTTATTCCTGAGTTTGCATGGTCGCAACAGACAGAGAGGGACAAACAAACAAACAAACAAAAAAGAACAACAACAAAAGAGCTGGACATAGGAATTGTATTATTGCTGCACGCCGTATTTTTATTTTTGGCGTATTGCAGGCATTTCTTTTCTTTTTTTACTTATTTTTCCTTTTTTATTGTTTTTTTTTTTTTTTTTGGGATGTAATGTAATGTATATATATCTATATCTGTATGTATCTGTTTGTGTACGTGTTTGTCTTGTTGGTGTTGGTGTTGTTACAATTCTGCCTACCACAGAAATTGGAGCACTGGCGATGGCGGTGGGGCAATGATATCGCCTGTTGTTGTTTACATTTTTCTTTTTAACGCACACGTTCCCCGCTCAATATTTATTTATTTTTTGTCTGTTGCTTTTACTCCTGTTCGTGTGTGATTTTAATATTTTCTGTTCCGGCGACTTTTTAGCCGTAAAATGGGGTGGTAGCGCCCGCTATTTGTTTGCTCGCACTGGGGACGGTTGCATATTTCTTGTCTTATCCTCTTTTTATTTATATTTTTATTAGGCGTTGGCGCTGCTGTATTCTCTACGTTTCTTTTTTTTCTTTTTTTCCTTTTTAACGCACGTGTTGCCTTCAGTTTTATTTGCCGCGACGAGCTGCTGGCGACCGCCGGGGGAGGCGGCGGCGGTGTTTCATCGTGGGGGAGGTTTGAGGGGCTTTTTAGATGTCGCGGCGTTGCTTCATGGTGTACCCGTTGCCGTCCGTGGCTGACGAGTCGTTTCTGAATGTCATCTTCGACGGCGGGGTTTGTCGCAGCGTATTTGCGGGATTTGGGCCGCGCCGCTTTGCCCTGGTGGAGCTGCGGGACGACGCCCGCGCGGAGGCGGTGACATCCGCCCTGGGGCCTACGCCTTCACCACATGTGAATACTCACACTAGTGCCAGCA